CATGTTTATGTGATAAGTTGGCGAGTTCAGGTAAAGACAACTTTAATTTTATAAATGGGTACCATGTCAGAACACAGCATCCATTGGTTTTAACCATGCCAGTATCTCCAGCTATTATATGCATACTGGACGATTCTGCACACCACGGTTTACATCCAGTGCCAATGCAGGACGTAATGTGCCCTTTACGTGTAGAGGCATACAGTCAGAATAGAGGTTGGGCTGTGGATGGGGGTGCAGCACAACAGACTTTAATACAGGAGTTTGAGTTCAGTCAAAGATCGTCCATCTTCCTCCACTGATAAAGAGTCCATCGCTCCTGCATGCCCTTCCTGTGACCATAAACCTCTGTGGGCGTACACATGTAAACTCTCAGATAAACGGGGAGCAGAAATAAAACTAGTGCAGTTCATCCGCCATGTTTATGAGAATTAAACAAGCCAACAACAGTCCTGGACACACACACAAACTGAAGGGCCTTTTCCTTCCTCTACTGGCTCTATATTTAGTCACATTTGCACCTGTGAGTCTGAGCACGCTCAGTAAGCAGCTGATGAATGGAGGGCTGTGACCTCAGGGTAAGGGAGGTGGTGTGTATGTGTGTTTGGGATCCACACAGCCGGGTTGCTTTTGTCTCTTCCTGGTGACGTCATAATCGTCTTTTCACTGGTTTATTAGTAAAGGCAGCATTACTATGGATTTTTCATTTCAGTTTTACTCTGTGTGTTGTCTGATTACTCTTTAGATGAAATGGGGTTAAAGTTGGGTTACTGTATAAATGAGCAGAACTTTATTTTTCCTTTTTGGTTAATCCATTATTTTTTTATTGATTGATTAAGCAAACAGCCTAGAAATTGTCAATATTTCTGCTAGATCCCGTATACAAGATCACCGTGCAACAAATCCAGCATGATTTAGAAACACAGTAAAACAGCCGCTGGCTTAATCAATTTTCTACATCGACCTTTTTTGTCTTCTTGAGTTGTGACCAGTTAACTAGAGTCACTGTTCCCTCTCACACTGATGCATTACTAAATTACTGGTACTAAATACTACAAAAAAGAACCAACAGATTATTTGATGATGAGAACCATAATTAGTTCAAGTCTCAACTGAATAAATTTTGCTAACTCAGATTGTGAAACACTCATCTATGTTATTTTGTATGTTATGGATTCATTTTCTGCTAATTTACTTGAACGCATTTATTAATTAAAAGATGAATCATTTAAGTAGTATCAAGAAGAAAGTATAATCTAACTAAACAAAAGAAGTGCTGTAGCCAAGTTAATATGTTGGAATGCCACTGGTTTAAAACCATTTTCACCTCCGATTTACACAAAAGATGTTGTGATGCTGCCATACACACAGTTCACAACACTGTTCTGAAAATACAAATTGTTGAAAAGCGTTGATTATGTCCTCCGAGTAGTCAAAAAAAAAAAAAAGCAGTATATCTGCATAGTGGAGTAGAGAGTAGTTTACATTTTTCACAGTTTAATAATGAAATTTAATATGAATGAAACAATGAGCCCCAATCAAAATTGCATCCCTTTCAGAAAACATTGTTTTATTCACTGTCATTTTTGTGCGCGTGGATGCAGAAACAAAACACATCATTACCGCAATTGTTGATACACCTACACTTCTCTCCATATCTACCAGAAACACAACGCCGTTCTATTCTTTGATTGACGCTGGTAACTGAAACAGCCCAAATTTCACTTGTTTATAATATATAAAATCTTGGCAACAGACACTGGCTCCCCCCTCCTCTGCTGGTAATATTCTGCCACCCTCATCTGTCCATCTGCCACAACGACTTCCTTCCTTCCGTTCCTTGTAGAAAATGCAGATGGATGAGAATAATTATCCAGTTAAACCTCAAAATGCTCTCAGTGTAAGGAGCTGCTCGATAATGACAATCCATTTATCCCCTCAAAAGGTGCCGTTCCTGGAACAAGCAAACACTGGATATGAAGAGAGTGTCTTAACAAAACAAAACAAAAAAAAAGGAATCAGGCAGGGTGCTCCCCCCCTGCACTTTCACATTGGAACAAGCCAACAAACTTTCTCTGTCCTCCCCCTCATCCGTCTCTCTGCTTTCCATCTCCTACTGTATACATTACTGAACCCACGCCTGTTCGCCTTCGCTGCACCAAGTCTTCACTTAGCACTGTTCACTGTGCGTGCGCTCGCAAAGGGGGATTATGGACACTGTGGGTGGTGCAATCTGCTGGTAGAAACTGAGCCCCCGGCCGATACCCACTTGCTTTCATGAGATGAGCTCAAATGCACTCAAGCACACACGGCTGTATACATACATACACGTGCAGACACTCAGTAGGTTGTAGAGCAGAAGTTGTCTTCACTCCCCAGAGCTTTTCTACGTGTGTGTTGCATGTGTGTGAGGAGTATATATGATGTGTGGGTGTATGACAGGATGTGTGTCAACCTCTCGTCTGCTGCAAGTCACACACCACAGTCTCTCTTTTTCCTCTCCAACTTTCTTTCTTCTACATGTTACCACATTACTGCCGTTGCAAGTGATACTGTGAGATTTTGGCCCAATAGGATGTCACGATCACACAGTTTCCCACAGGATGGCAACACGTTCGTGGTGGTAGTGAGTGGGCAGATCGCTTAAGAGTTTTTCTTTTTCCTATAACAATATACAGCAGATTATGTAAAATATGCACAAATCACACAATATAATCCTATTTGAGCTAGAAACCTCTGGTGAATGTGTAACTTGAGAGGATGAGAAGGATGTGATGCAGGTTGGTGGTCACGGTCACATGACCGGTGGCAGTGCAGAAAGAGACACTGAGGCTAAGGTTGCGTGTATATAATACACGCAATAGCAACATGATTGGCTGTTGTGCATATAGGCTACATGGGTGCTGTCAAATAAATCAATTAAAACATTTAATTTAAAGAGTAAATTCATTAAACTAATACTTGCACTGCTAGACCCCCAGTCATGTATAGGTGTAGAAAACAAGATTATTATATCTCAAGAGGTTTTTATCCTGGAAATAAATTTGCAGTCCAGACAGACTAGAAAAGTTGATAATGGACTGAATACCAGGGCATCAAACTAAACATGAGGCCAGTGAATAAAACACACGCCTTTGGTGTGAGAGACCTGGGTTGAAATCCCCACTGTGACACATCCACAAATGTGCCTGAACAAGACACTTAACCCATAGGTGTGTGACCTCTGACATATAGAAATTGTAAGTCGCTTTGGAATGAATAAATGTAATGGGTATAAATTCAAATCCCAACTGTACTCATGATTCATCCTTCATGCACACTCAAGTAGAAATTCACTCTATGAGTAAGAGACAGTTTGTCTGAGGGGACTGCAGTTTATAGGACCAGCAGTTCTCCCTCAGAGCTAATGGAGTGCAGAAGGTGCGTCTCCTCTGCACTTGGGGCTGGGCGTGGCCGAGACAGAGCACACAGAGCTGGGCCTCTTCTACAATATTGACAGTGTTATAAACCAGAATTCTGGACCCAGAAGCACGACTCTACTCGAGGCAGTTCACCGTTCAAAAGAAGTTTATAACAATAATGAGTGCGTGAGCCGTGGCGGTGGAGCAGAAGCGGCAAACCAGGGTTAGCAGCGGAAGGCAGAGCTGGCAAGAAGTATAGTCACTTGGTGCAGAGCTAGGCAGGCTAGCAAAGACCACACAGGACCTGGGAATCTGGATACACAGAAACACAGGGAATTAGTCACAGGAGAAGAATTACAGAACATGAGAATTACAAAAACAAAAAGTTGGCTGTAGCGCTGTACCACATAGGCAAACTGACAATCTGGCAAACAGTAGAGTGCAGGGCCGGGGTAGATATGCTGCTGAGTGCTGATTGCCGGATGAGAAGCAGGTGTGCAGGAGACGACTGTCGGCAGGGGTGGATCTTCATGCCCAGATGGACACGCCTTCACACAGACAGACAGGGACACAGACTGACATGAACATAAGGAGAGGGATAATAACAACAGATGAACACAGGGAAGTGCTACTGGACCATAACAGACAGGGCTGTCGTGAACAATCATCGTTGATAAAAACAAGCAATTTTACGTGATTAGCTCGGGTTTTAGAAAATTGTAACTCACATTTTTCACTATTTTCATACATTTTATTGACCAAATGATTAATCGACTAATTGTCGAGAAAACAATCAGTGATCACGAATTGCAGTTCATGCTTCTTCAGAATGAGTAAGCTTGCAGTAATGCTGTATAGTTAGTGTGGTAGAGGCGTTAGCATTATGCTGTGCTGCTGACAAATGTTTTGTCACTTGTGTAAGTCGTTCACAAATTGTAAGAAGAGGTGATTTTAGCCAAATTTTTCTGTAGAGAAAACTCCAGCCCGTCTCTCCATGCTAACTTCTGTCCCACCAGCTTCATCCAGACAATCTATTTCTTTCATTGGTCTGTCTAAAAAGCAGAAACATGATACAAGAGGTTTCTGCATATTTACTAGGGCACCTGGTGCAAGACTCGTAAGAACTGCAGACAGAACTGTTTGTTGACTACCAGACCAACAGAATAATAATTTATTTTGGTTAAAACTTCAATGCGTTGAGTACTTCCTGTCCAGTACAGAAGCACAGATAACCATCTAGCTTAGATTATGGACAGAAAAGCTGCAGGGTCATGTGTCATCTCTTCAGAGTGTTGAAACCATCTGTGTGTCCTAATCAATTTACCGGGACATGAGCATCAAGAATGAAGAATTTTCAACTTGGCAAATACCATTGCAAGGATTAAACAGTGTGTCTGCAAATGTTTTACCAATCATCTTCTGTACAATTTGCTATAGGCTATAACTTCCATGCTATAGACAGCATGCACATTAAAGCTTTTTACTCATATTTGTAATCTTAACTCTCTCTCTCTCTTGTCTTTTTCTTCCACTTTTCTTTTTCCTTCCCCTTGTTCCTCTTAACCCTCCTTCTGTCCACACTTACCCCTCTCTCTGCAGATTGACCTGGAGCCAGAGGGGAAGGTATATGTGGTTATTGACCTATCAGGATCTTCCAGTGAAGGTAAGAACTCAGTAGACGGTGATGTTATTTGTTATGCTGTTATCCTTTGTTCAAAGTTGTTTTTCTCAAAAGAGCTGCTGTATAATCAGCACTTTTAAAACCCAAAACTTTCATGAGAATTGATCTGGAAATTTTGGGTTTTATATGCTGCAGCGTTTATAATAGCTTTCATAAACTGCTCATAACAATGAGCAATAGAGAGCAACATGTCTTTTGTATACATATGTAAAAAAAAATTTTAATTGCATGTTTGCGAAGGAATGCAATACAAACAAACCAGCCCATTTTAGACAGTTTACGAAAAAAACATAAAGCTTATTTACATATGGCTAATGGTGTCTTGCAGATGAGAAAACCACATTTTAAAAATACAAAAACTGTTCAGTTCTAATGAGTCTAATGGGTTTTATTTTGTGGGTTTCCTTTATTCTCGTTATGGGGAAGGGTTATATTGATATTGATCTACCACCTCTCTGTAACACATAATGCTGTCTTTGCATCAATGGATCATTTCATAAAATACATGAATTTACATGTAATATTTACATTCATACATGCATACTTTATACAGTACATCGGTGCAGTAGACAGTGTTTTCACTCTTAGGCTGAAGCCACTCTTTGATGTGCTGTGTCCTGCGGATGTCTGTATGTGTGAGTCGTCTCAAGTGCCTGCGGTTGCTCATTAAAGGCTTTGTAAAAGTAATGTGTTGAGTAACACTTCCCTGCTGCCTCTTCCTCTTTCTCAATCTCTACGTCTGCCTCTCATTTCAAACCTGTTACCCTCAAATTCATTATATCACTCTCTGATAAACTAAATTTAAATTGGTAGTGGTGTATTGATCTACTTAAACATGACTTAAGGCAACTTCATGCAAGAATTGGTATTTTTTGCAACTTGGCGGCCCTAGAGAGTGAAATGCACTTTTATATCACTCTCGGAAATACAAATGATGCTAACCTCTGTTTAAAAATGGGCTAAATTGGCCTATGATCAAAACTACTTTGCCAATACGGACAATCATCAAGCAAGTGCAACAACAGAAGACATAGCAAGCCAGGTAATATCACTTATAGTCCAATAGCAAGAAGGCCAGCTCGGTGTTTGTCTGGGATTTACTCTTGTCCGGCCTCTTGCTTGGCCACTTTACGGGTCTGTGGACCATTGAAAGGATTATTTTAAGGTGGAATACTTGCATAATGTTGCTTTATAGTTTTAAAGTAGGACTTTTCTTAAAGTGTGCGCGTATGTGTGTGTAACACTGTGAGAAAGTCTTGAGTCAGTCTGTCACCCATCTGCACTGTGCACCATTAGATCAGGAAATAGACAATGCAAGTTTCCTGTGCATTTACATGTGTTACTCCTCGAGCTGCAATCTTTGCTTTATGTTCAAAAAAAGAAAGTTACAGCTAAAAAGCTGAGGAGTTCTATATGAAGTGGTGCATGGAGACTGACATTATTAAACAGTTGCCCTGCCGAAAAACCCGTATGAATTTTCCAAAAGCAACTTGCAGAAGTGTTTTCTCTAGGCCTAGGCTAAGGGAAAGACGGACTTCAGGGTTAAAGGCGCATGCTACTTCCACCTTTGCTACTCAGTGAGGACAGGCCGCAAGAGGTTACATAATCATGAGATGCATATCATCCCTGCACCATCTAGCATTTCTATCTCTGCTGTATGCATAAAATCATGTCCAGAGCTTTTGAAAGAACATTTTTAAAGAGCTGTGTGTGTGTGTGTGTGTGTGAGAGAGAGTTTTTTTTATACAAGAGGATCTGGTAGACACATGAACAAACTCCCTCCCTCCTGTCTGTTATACTGTAACAGACATTTACATACTGTGCATCCTCCATGGCTTCATTTGCAGTACTAATAAAGTGATGAATGTATCTTGCTGCTTCTTAAGACAGTAAAATCAGCTGCAGGTCCAGCACCAGAAACCTACCAGTCTCAGGCCAAGTGACCTGTGACAGCAGGGTTCAGGCTAAGTCATCGCCATATAAACGTCACACTGTTCCTCAGTCAGATTAATCCTGCGCACAGCTTTTGTCCTTTATGCAGTCCTATGTGGAGATACATCTGTGCTTTGTATTGCTTTGTATAGCTTTTAACTGGTGAGGTGCAAACGTACACGACCAAATGATGCATCTCCATCTAGATGTTGTACCTTTGGTGCTGCGGCTCTGCAGACCTGACAGATCCCGTTGTAACTCATGTAGTTGCTTCAAAATGTGATGATAAAGATAAAATGGAGCAGTGAGAAGAAACAGTGAGAAGAATCAACATTCAACAGGCACAGTGCCATGGCATGGTGTTTGATAATACACAGTTTAAATCTACAGCTGAAGGCTCTGATATATTATTATTATTATTGTTATTATGACCTTTATTTAAACAGGGAGCGCCATTGAGAACAAACTCTCTTTTACAAGGACAGCCTGATTACAGTACATGTAAAACAATAAAAGCACATGAAAGTTACAGCATACATCAACACATTATACAACACACAGGCCAAGGACATCAACATAAGGTGCAACATCAAATCAAAGAAAAAACATGCATACACACTGTTCTAGGTCAGTCAGAAGACATTAAATTTCATTTAAAGGGATTTGCTTGTCTAATTTTACAAGCTTCTGCAGAGTGTCCCGCGTGTGTGGAGTATTGTTAGAGCCCGTTTGCCAATCTTAGTAGTAACATAATGATTTTCAAAGACCAAATATTCTTGGGTCGTAGTGCAGTGTGAACATGATCTACTGTATAGTTACAAATACATGTGAGATACCCAGGAAGTGCTCTGTAAATAAACAGAATGCAGTGCCGTTCTCTTGTCACTGCCAACCAACTTTCTCATACAGCAATGTCGGTCATGAACCTAAGGGCGGAAGGATAGACTGCATCAAGAGGTTTAAGAATAGAGGCAAGAGAGTGCAAATAAATTGCATCACCTTAGTCCATAAAAACGTTGACTGAGCAATTTGTTTTCTTTCTACTTCCATAAAAGAATGCCAGTTTTGATTTCATTAATATTTTTTTGAAGCACAGCTTGTCAATGTCATCCATTATTTATATGGTTAACAGAAGATGATGAAATTTAATAATTACAAAATCTCTTATCATTTATGACATATAAATATTGATGGCAGCCGAAATCAGTTGTGAAAGATTTGGCTTCTATTTCCAGTAAAAGTGAATGAAAGGGCAAAAACATTTGTGACAGATAATCACTTAGAGACCCTTAAATTAGGAAACTGAATCTTGATAATTCATTTGATCAGCAACAAGCAAATACCACTTTATCACCATATCAGCCACACGTAATGCTGTTGACATTTGGACTCATTTTGTGCTTTTGTCTCTGTCTACAGTAATCCAAACCCTAACTTACCTCCTGAAACTGAAAAGAAAAATCTGAACCACTTTAAAATAAATCTTTACCAGTCTTTGTGCATCGGTGTGTTTGTGTATAAATGTGTGTGTAAAATGTACCAGATTATGTGTTAGAGAGACAGGACAGAATTGAAGAAGAGAAAGACAGAGAGGGAGTTAACTGGAGGTTGAAAGAGGGGGAGAGGCGGGTGATAAATTGATTAGTAAAGTGGAGTGTTCTCTAATGGACCAGTTACATCATCGAAAAAGAGAGGGAGAGAGGAGGAGGAGAGAGCGAGCTAAGTACAGAGTGACAAAGAGGTGTCATTAGGACAAGGACTTTCCTTTTTCTCTCCTTTTATAAATGTGTTCTTCAATCTTTAATTCTATGTCTTTCTAAATCTCTCTGTTTCTTTTTCTGTCTGCAGTGACAATATGTTCATGTACATGTGTGTGTGCGTTTGAGTGGCTGAAATTGCAGTCATTACTTAAATGTGTTTGTATAGCAGAGAACACATGGGTGAACTGTCAGGCCTGAGAGCTGCAATCAACATATTAGCTTTTATACACACACACACACACACACACACACACACACACACACACACACACACACACACACACACACACACACACACACACAAAGCCCTGCTGTCACCAGGCCAGGATGATAAACTGCTGCTGTTGCTAAAAGCAGGTGAACTATTTATGTTGTTCTGGCTCTTGTTATCAGCTGGGAGACTATTATACTTTGAATATAATGAAGCTTTGTAAGAAACATTGTGTGGCCTTCGCATAGAAAAAAACCTGAGAGATTGATCCTTCAATCATGTTACGAGTATTGTCGCTGGATACTTTGCTACCACAGGGCACCAGTGTGAAACTCCTCTGGTGGCAACTACAAATCCACCACAATACACAGCAATCAGCTGACATAATCAGTTTTACTTCTGTTGAAACTACTATTTATTATTTAACAATATAAAAAGTTTACTTTTAAACTGCATTATGTCATGTTATCTTGGTGAGGTCTCGTAACTACACATAACAAATGTTAGAGATAATCTTTGTTTATGTAGTGTGTTTCTGAAAAAAACAAAATATCTAAATATTGACCGGAATATTGGATTTTAAATTCCTCAAATATCAAAATCATCCAATATCAGTTGGGTTCTACTAATAATAAAAAATAAGCTGGTTTTAGCACTGTCGCTGCATTAGCGTTAGTGTGGTTACACTGTATGATTCATTTGACACATGAACATGCAGGAGAGATGCATTTGTTACTAATGTGTGAATTGAGCTGCCTCTATCCACATGAACCTTTTTCTTTATACATGTAATTGAGGCGCATTCGCATTCAGTGTCAACATACCTTAAACCTTTATCAATTTTACATGGGGAGAACTACTCATACTTACTTAAAACTGTTGGATGGATTGACATTAAATTTGGCATTAATTTATACTTATTTTCATCTAGATTTTGTTTAAATACTGACTACATTTATGACGTTCCCATTCCCATCACAGCTGTATTTTCTGTCTGACCAGAACAAGAGATATCCTGTTTCATTTGCCCGCTGTGTTATGTTGTAGTCATTTTAGTTTGTGAGGTGTAATAAACATTTGGGGGGTTACTAGCAGGACTTTAAAGATAAAGTGTGAAAGTTTTTAGTGGCATCTAGTGGTGAGGATTGCAAATTGCAACCAGCTGCTCACGGTGCATTCACCTTCTCCTCGGATGGTCTCATTTCCCGAGTTGCGAAGTCGTTTTTTCCAACTTCAGCTGTGTTCATGTGCTTTTAAGTCGGAATGTGGAATCAACATGGACGCTACTACAAAGATATGTTGGATTAGCACTATTAGAGCATTTAATCTACCAAATGCACCATCAGTCACTGCTCACCCCTCCCTTTCCAAGCATGCAAGAGAAGCTGCGGTGGCTGACACACTCTGCCGGCTCTTGTGCTAAATAATACGTGTGGTCCTCTATTTGTCCAAATTTATTTTCTTCTTCTTCTTCATACATATTCAACTTAGTGACAAAACGCGTTCTGTAGAGTAGTTTGTCCGTTTGGGCCACTGTAGAAACATTCCGCCGCAACATGGCATCTTCAATGCAAGAGGACGTGCAGTGTATGTAGAAAGAAATGTCTCATTCTAAGGTGATATTGTGTAATGTCTTTATTACACACCGAACCTTTAAGTCTTGTTAGTGCTTACAAAGGTGAATGTGCTTAATGTCAGCACCGAGCTATTGAAATCTTTACTTCAAACTTCAGGGGTTGTGATAAGGACATCACAGAGGAACAGCATGTCTATCACAGCCCCCATCCCGGCCCCCAACCCCGCCACCCCCGAACCCTCCCCAGTGGACGACGCCAAGTCTAATACTGTTGCTAGGCAGCAGTCACCAGTTGCTAGGCGATGGGGATGGCGAATAGCAAAGGGGCTGGAAGAGTAAGAGTGGCGACAGGCAGAACATGACTGGGAGAAAAGGATGTACGAGTCCTAGAGGTTTAACGGAAGAGTAGCTCCAAATGTAAAGTTTATCTTGAGGGTGGCGCTAGAGGAAAATGTTGTGGAGCGTAAAGAGTTTGTCTTTTTGATTATTATATTTCCTGTGTAAGTTGTTGTTCTGACCCGACGGAGGTGCTAGAGTTTTGTCAGTAAGCTAAGACTACTAATTTATAAAGTCAGGATGTGGTCAAATGAAACTCCTAATTTTACAGCTAATTTATCTGTTTGCACAAAACTTTCTAACCTGATCTGAGATAGTGAAGGCTGAATGAAGTAAGATTGAAGGACAGATGATGTTCTCATATCACAGCTGCTGAGAGAAAAGGATTCAGCTCAGTTGCTCAGTGGGTCGATGATGGCAAACAAACCAGAGTTAGAGGCCTGATGCTCACTCAGCGTCTAAAACCATGCCTGTAACATTTAAAGATTATTTCATCATCTTGAAGCTGTTTCACCACGTCGAAACCTTACAGCAGTAAACATTACTTCAACACGTCTAATAACATGTTACTGTCTGCGCTCTCTGCTTGTTTTTGAAAAATCTTTCTATAACTCTATTTAATCTGATTTAATGTTGTACTGCGCTTGTTAATCTTCGAGTTAAGCTTTTCCTTAAAATTTCTTCTGAACTTCCCAGTAGATTACAGTATATTTTTATATACAAGACAAGACCTTAACCCAACAACAATTAACAAAAGAAAAATCACTTGGCTTTAGGAAAATTCGGAATCTGGGTAAAAAACAGGCGTCAAAACCTTTTCGTCTGTTACGGTTTATTCTCAACTTGATGTGTTCATTTGTTTTCTGAGTCACACAAAACATTCTCATCCTTCCAAGTATGTTTCCATTTGCCTCCCAGTGTGAGAGAGAGAGATTTAAACAGGGTTAGACAGTAATTGAAATCTCTGCTGTTCCACTGGGGAAAAGCCTCTGTAATTAAACAGAAAGAGGCCGAAAGAGATTGAGAGACAAAGACACACTGTGACTGAGTGACTGTGTTAAAGCAATCGCTAAATACAACCTCACCCTCAGCCACGTTCATCCACACAGTGTCACTGCCATCTAGTGGTTACATGGTGTGATTGCCGCTTCATCATGCATCTGTTCTCATTTATCTCATATTCAGAAAGACAGAATAAACCACACACATTTTCAGATTAAATAAATATTAGTATTTCAAGAGGCTTTGTGTATCTTTTCATACTATTCAGTGAAGAAACTAGCAACATCATCAAAAGCTAATGACACCACATTTGCTTCAACACCCACACTATATACAGGTATTAGGGCTGACTAAGGATTTACAAAGTTGAATCAGAATCGTCAAGTCCTGCCTATATCATGTGTTTTTGTGCGCAGCGATTGGGGGGTTACACACAGTGGCTCCGCTTCAATCTTGAGAAGAGCTGTAGTCTCTATTCATTCAACTTACAATGTAAATTTCCAGATAAACTGAGGCTTTTTGAAGACCCTCTCGCCTGCCATTCACCCGTCTTGTGCAGAGTTTTGCGTGCATGCTTTGCTGCCGACAGCTGCATACACGTCGCGGTTCCTCGCAGGTCTATTTCAAGTAGCCGGCTATTTAAAAATGAAATAATATTCTTTGCGTGGTTCACCAACAGTGATAAATTATCCAAAAGTCCCACGAGGTGCGGAAAACTCGACACAACACCAGTGAAGCTGGGGCTCCTGTCACTGCACACACACACTCTACGCCTACACATGCGCACCTACGACCCAGGGTTAGGGTGACAATTTTGGATTTAATTACGCACTTTAAAAACATTTATTGAATGTTTTTTTCTTTTTTCTTCTATTTACAGCATTAAACGTTGAAATGTATGTTGTAATAGGCTGTATATTAACTTATTGGGAGAAAACTGGTAGTTCTATGTAAAATCAGACATTGAGCACCCCCATATCGCCAAAATTGCATGATCCTTGTGTTGTTGCGAAGCTTCGACTGTAAATCAGGCTCTGCCCATCGAAGTATCGAATCTTGGACTATTGAGGGTCAGCCATACTATATACTGATGTGTTTAATTTCATTTTATAAGTTTTGTATTTTGCTTGTGTGCAGCTGCGCCGGTCAACACTGAAAATGAAGAGCGTGTGTTTCGGCAGCGGATGCGTCCCAGAAGCGTCAGGGCGCCGTCCGTCGGAGGGTGCACCAGGTCAACGGACACAAGTTTATGGCCACTTACCTGAGACAGCCCACCTACTGCTCCCACTGCAGGGACTTCATCTGGTGAGGACGCACACATTTCCATCTGTAGAGCCTGTTCTGACTGCCTTTTTTTTGCGGTACATGTAAATGTGTTCTGCGATTTCCTGCCATAACCTGATTTCTCTGCTGCCTTGTTTACATGTAGACACAGTGGATGCTGTGAAGTGTGGAGTGATAAACAAAGCCAGCTGTGTTTGTTTCCATCACAACAAACTGTGTTAGAGTCACTCACATGGCAGCCATGTGACCTCTGTGCTCCGCTCACTTTCAGCTCCACTCCGAAAGACCGTTTGAAGTGTAATCAGAGAAAAAAGGAACAAGGAAACTGTCTTTGGTAGAGTCCTCTAGTGTTCAGGTTTTCTGAGGTGGAACAAAATTACTGCACCATACACGGGAACAACGTGTAAAGTTTTATGTAAGCCAACAGGAAAATACATGCGATTTTGATGTGAAAGGTTTTTGGTTTTTGATATGCAAAGAATTGCCAGTCATTAATAATAAATGAAACACAATTTGCTGTTTATCTCCTCTTGTACCTTACAAAATCTTTCCTTGCTAACTCGGACACAAAACGCAGTTCTAATAAACTTTATGCAGACAGTGTGAATTGATTACAACACATTTTCTGTTTCTCTCTGACCTTCAGGGGTGTCTTAGGAAAGCAAGGCTACCAGTGTCAAGGTAAGATGCTGTTACTTTTAAGCCATATCTTTACATTCTTTTAGTCCACTATATCTGAATCTTAATTTATGTTTCTCAAACATATCTACTGGAGGGACTTAAGCACATATAATTACACTCTAAATGTGTTTCTTGTGTCCATGTGTGTGTTCCTGCTGCAGTGTGTACCTGTGTGGTCCATAAGCGCTGCCATGAGCTGATCATTACCAAGTGTGCAGGGATGAAGAAGCAGGATGACACAGTCGGGGAGGTACTGACCTACAACTTTTTTAATAAGATTATACAACACAGTTTGACAGACAGCGGCTACTATCTTAAACGATATTCAAATGATATGAAAAACGGGCACTTTTATAATAGTAAGACCATTAATCAAGTCAATTATAATTAGTATCAATATATCAAAACATTTTAGACAAGATCTTTCCAGCAGTCTGATAACTCACTTTCCAATGGCCTCTCATCAGACCGGCAGGTACTCTAGGGGGGTCATTTTTGCTTTAAGGGACCCACCTACACTGGGCGTCCGGGTGGCCAGATCAGGCCTGTTGGCTTAAAAGACCACAACAAAAAGGAGAGACTACATGGTAAAAGTTTAACAAAATATGTTTATTTAAACCAAAGTTAACCAAATTTACGTCACAGGCCCGTCACATAATTTTTTTGTTTGGACTTTGATGTTCTGTTAATATTCTGTAGACTACAATCATTCTGCGTTCTTAACCCTTCTTCTGCTGAAAATGTTTTACAGAACAGCAAGCAGGCTCCACTCGAGACGTTGCAGTGGTTACCTATTTAAAACAGCAGTTAATAGGAGTGCAGACAAATAAAAAAATTCACATTTAAAGGTAAAGACTTTCAAGTAGGGCTTAACGATTTTGGAAAATAATCTAATTGCGATTTTTTTAATCTACATTGTGATTTAATATGCGATTAATTTTTAAGCTCTTCACCTTCTGTATTATTCAAAACAGACAAGCAGTAAATGGATAGTGTATAGTATGACCAACAGATAGATAGATTAAACATACACTTTTCTTTCTTGTAGGCCAGGCCTGTGTTATGATGAAATTAGGTGATGCTTTAATTGCATGAATCATTATTACGTATATAATTATTATTATTATGTAAATATAGATAACTTGAGAGTCAAGTCATGGCATTAAGTAATGATATAACATCATCAGGTAGGCCTACTTACAGATGACAAGAAAAACAAAGTTTACCAGTGTGAACTGTATTATACAGTAAGCGCTCAATACAAAACCCACAGTTCAACCGCCAATTAATGCGTCCTTATCTTAGTTCAAACCTCCTAGGAGTCCATCTCTCATCAAAAACCTCAAAAAATACTCAGTTTGAGGTTCTATTCAAAAGTTGGCCAACGGAAATAAAATGAGTTTGGTTTGAAATGCTGTTACATAGATAGTTACTGAGCTGACTGGTGGCTGTGTGTGTGACGCAGGCGCCGATCGCCACAATACCCTTACCTTACTGCTTCGTCTGCATACTGTTTTACTCTCGCGTGTCAAGTGACCAGAGCGTAATCGCAGCTTTTGCGATTAGAAAATCTTGTTTTATCATATCGCGATGATATCGCTAATGCAATTTATCGCTCTGCCCTACTTTCAAGTGTGTAAGCATACAAAGCATTTAGAAGGTTGTTTTTTCTCTTCGCGTTTCAGTTTGTTAATAGGTGAGTGAGGGAATTCCACCATCTTTTGCTTGTGTTCTGCAGAGGACCTTTGTTGCAAATCACTCCGATTCTCTCTCACACCTTTACTTTCAATAGTGGGGATAAATTACCCACATATTACAGAGGAACTGCGACATTAGTGGCAGAGATAACAACATTCACATTCCCACATTTTTCCAGCCACACCAGACCTTCAGGCTCCTGCAGGTTTATCTCATTGTCCTTTTGTGCCTTTTACAGCCAGTCGGTTCTCAGAGGTTCAGTGTCAACGTGCCGCACAAGTTCAGCATCCACAACTTCAAGGTTCTCACCTTCTGCGACCACTGTGGGTCTCTGCTCTGGGGCCTGCTGCGTCAGGGACTCCAGTGTAAAGGTACAGACAAACACAAGGTCTTTATCATACCTGGACACCATTAGACTTCCTGTCCTGAATTTGTAACCCTCTGTCTCCCACTGGGTGTGTGTCTCAGTGTGTAAAGTGAATGTGCACAGGCGCTGTGAGAGTAACGTAGCACCTAACTGTGGTGTGGACGCCAGAGGAATCGCTAAAGTTCTCTCTGACCTCGGAGTCACACCAGACAAGATCTCCAACAGCGCCCAGAGACGGAAAAAGGTGAATCATCGTCCAAAAGTAAAACTGGCTGCAGCTTAAAAGACAAACTCCAGAAGAGCAGAGATAAAATCAAGATAAGATCAAGCAGAATAAGAAAGTTTCACCACAAAAAACTGCTACACAGTACATAGAGTACTGATGATGATGGTGATTGTGTTGATGTGGATGTTGACAGAGGTATTTTGTCTTTAAACAGCTTCCTCAGGGTCAGGACCCCCCGCAGCCGTTATCAGTGACGCCTAAGACAGAAGACGATCGCTCAAAGTCCGCCCCCACCTCACCGTGTGACCAGGGTAGCAGAAATTCATGAACTTCAACCTGCGTGAAACAACAATCAAATGAACAAACTCACCAGAACTCATCTTATTCTTATTTCTGTACAGAAGCGAAGGAGCTGGAGAACATCCGGAAGGCTCTGTCGTTTGACCACCGAGGAGAGGAGCACAAAACACAACCCCTCTCCTCCTCCTCCTCCGCCTCGTCTGTTGCCACTGTAACGGCGGACAGTCACGGAGGTGGAGGAGGTGATGGAGGTGGAGGAGTTGATGGAGGCGGCGCCAAAGTGGAGGGTGAAGGAAGCCAGGAGAATGGAGACGTCAAAGGTCATAGCGCACCTGAAATGAAGAGGATGCATCTGCATGATTTTCTGTTCATCAAAGTTTTGGGAAAAGGAAGCTTTGGAAAGGTTAGTTTAAGACTTTGGCATTTGTTCACTTGTGTATTTGTACACAGTTTATGATTTTAATTTTTGGCTGCAATCCCTACTCTATTCTTCTTCATTCTGCTACCTGTATGTTAGTAAAATCGGTCCAATGAGAGACAGAGAGGAAGAAAAGGAAGACATAAAGAGGAAAATAGGGTAGAGGAGGGATAATAAATTCTCTCCAGTGTTCTGACTGTTGTGTGTCATGTGACCAGGTGATGCTGGCGGAGCTGAAAGGCAGCGACGAGGTTTACGCTGTCAAAGTGCTGAAGAAAGACGTGATCCTGCAGGACGACGACGTGGACTGCACTCTGACTGAGAAACGGATCCTGGCCCTGGCCAGAAAACACCCCTACCTGACACAGCTCTTCTGCTGCTTCCAGACTAAAGTAGGAAAACACACACACACACACACACATAAACAAACTCACATGCAGACATACTGTACACCTCCAGGGGGCAGCATCAGACCATATTTGAATCTGTGGTGTCCAGCCGTGCAGAAAAAAAGTTAAGCACTGAACATACTTTTAAAACACATGAGTACATTCTGAATCTTTCAGAAATTATAATGGCAAGAATGAAACTTTAATTTTAATTTAAAACAGTGTTTTCCAACTATGGATGCCAATCAAAGGAGGTAAATCTTAATATTTCTGTGACACTTTACCTCCAAAAAACCTTAAAAATGAAACAATGTTAGAGGGAAAGTTGAACTGCTCACACCTGATGTTTACGCCAAATAAGAAAATAATTAAATAAGAACAGATTCATTATGTCTCACCAAAAATGTGGCATTTCTAGGTTAAATATGCCCGTAGCAATGCTGTGTTAAAGGTTAAACACATACTGTACATTTCTAAACAGAAATGTACAGTATGTGCAGCATCTCTTTCTGTTCAGGGACAAACTGTCCTCATTCTGTACGTTTTGATTAAACGCTGTATGTTGTGCTGGCAAACAGGTGTCAGTTTCACATGAGGCTGGAAATTCACACAGTTCACAGAGACTCTATGTTTTGAGACCAGGAACAATTTCCAGAACGCTTTAAAACAACTTTCACACTGATGTCATTAGTAAAGCATCTGCCATCACTTCACTTTGGTCTCCCTGCTCTCGCTCTCTCTCACACTCTGCTCTTCTCTCATCATCCCCACCTCTCAGCTAATTTGTCCATCCGTACAGTAAGTGGACGATGACGGATAGACACACAAAGGGCACCCGTGAGTGGGACGCTGCTAACGCCAACAGCTCCTCCAGGCTACTGTATGTTTTGTCTATCGTATATTGCATACGTGTTTCTGTATGGAAACATATAGAGACTCTACATGGACTTGTGTGTGTGTTGGTACACTATGTGTATTTGTGGCCCTCCCAGGTGTGTACTCTCTCCCGTTTGCCAACTTGCTGAAGGAACAGGTCACATGTTGATGTTGCAAGTCCTTTCACTGCAACTTGAGCCTGACAGTGCTGAGAAGGCTGCACAGGTTTGAACTTTAACCAGACCTCGAGAAGAGCTGCACAAGCCTGAACAGTGAAGAAGTTAACTCAAGGCGTCTTTAATGTTCCCTTTTGCCAAGAATAATGAATACAACCCTGAGTTTTGAGAAAGTTTCCTCTTTTAAAAACTTTCATCAGTTGTTTGTTGTTGTTGTTTGTTAAAATGACACGTATTAGAGTATAGATCAGTGATTGGTGTCTCAGAGTCCAGCTGAAGGCGCTGGTTACATTAAGAAGTTGTCTATATGATTCATGGTCAACTGTCAAAACTACTCAGCTCATGCAGTAAAGAAATCTAATGAAGGGCGGGAAAGAGTCATATTGAGTTATAGGATTTTGTTTATGCAAAAGAAATGGCCACTGGGAGATTATTTTACCTTCCTCCAGTGCAAAGCTGAACTAAAGAGTTTTCTTTTTTGATTTGACTTGTGAAGCGATCCGACGGCTTCATAAGACGAGACCTGAGGAATCCTCTTGGGCGCCTGTGGGAATATGTGTCACCATTTAGAGATACTTGGCCGGTGTACAGTGCGAGACAAAAGTCCAAAAATAGATGCTTTTGCATTGTTTCCTGCGGTGGATTAGCAGGAGTCAAATATGTCAGGGTGGAGGAGTTGGGTGCAGGACGTTTTGTTCTGGAAAGCTCAAATCTAATGACGGCGTCTTCTCTTCAGTTTATTTATTCCTGTTATTCTCCCCTGAAGCAAACACAAACATGCGCAGGGTGGATGGATGAGAGACACAGAATAGTCTTTTTTTTTTTTTTCATTATTTTTTCAATATTTTTTTGGTCTCCTTTCTTTTCTGTCTGATGCGCACACACACACACACACACACACACACACACACTATGGCAGTCAGAGGTAACTGGGAGTGTGTTCTTGGACATAACAAAGGGATTGTGGCTCTTACATAACTGCGATGATCCTTATCAGGGACATGACACGTATTCCATATGCTGCGTGACCCCGCACCCCTCATCAACAACTTCACCCTGCTTCCCGTCAACTCCCCACGTTTCAGAAAAAAATCACTGTTGATTAAGAATGCAACGAACAATATTTTCTTGACTAATTGTTTGGTATAAAAAACATGAACAGCACTTGATGCTTTCAGATGTTTTGTTTTATCCGACCAACAGTACAAGATATTCAGTTTACAATTATGTAACCCAAGTAAAAAAGCACCACATGCTCACATTTGAGACGTTTTTGTTTGAAGAATGTATTGTAATAACTGCCTACTGTTGATCAATATATTTAAATATTTCTATTTCTCAGCAGCTCATCGCCGTGAATAACGTATTTCTCTTTGTCTCTGCTTGAGGGATCTTTTGTATATGATCTGCACGTCCCTGTTTGCTAGCACGGTATCTGTCAGGAATTTGAGTTTTAAAGAGATTTGGAGTACAACACCTTCATTCCTTCGCTCCCCCCTACCCTCATTTCACAGTGAGGCCCCTCAATGATGAATTTACTGTAGTGTACCTGCAACACAGCACTCACTGTGTTCAGACATGTTGTCTCCTCAGTCAGAGGGCACTTTGGCAGGTAACATACATACACTATAGACACACTATAGATCATTTGAGTGTGTGTGATGATGTTAACTTAAAAAACACATAAATATATTTTTAAAGAAGTAATATTTTTGGACATTGTTGCAGTAGAGTTGCTGCTTTCCCCTTATTATATTTTATATTTATTATGCATTTATATATTTACATATAATTATTTAAATACATATTTTTCTTATTTGATTTCTTAAAGTACTCTACTCTTGAAGAAGCCACTCGTTGCGCTATGACATCACTTTAAAACTTTAAAAAACTACACCGTGTGACCTATGTCCTACCTACACTGTCCCTCCTTGTTCTTCCCCTCCCTCCCTCCCTCCCTCGCTTCTTAATCGACTGTGCGATCACAGCCGTTCCCCTATCAGCATAATTACCCCCGAGAAATGTAAATAACATTATACAACAGTAGCGCTGGGCTTCACTCTGCTCTGCACATGCATGCAGAGTGGGGAAGTAAAGGCAGGGAAGAGGTGAGTGAGGAAATGAAGAGAGAGAGGAGAAGAGATGATTAAGAAAAAAAGAAAATCTGGTTTTAGACAGATTGCAGATTGTCAATAGCTGTGACTGTAAATTGGCTATTCTTTTTTAACAGAGTGAAGGGATGATGATGAAAAGGTGACGAAGAAGGGGAGAGTGTGTGCTAAGAAGTGAGTGAAGTAAGGAACAAGACAGATTACAATGGAAGAGAGAGTGTTTTTTAACGAGCTGTAATTGGGGAACATCAGAGGCAGCAGAGACAGCCAGAAACAAGCCAGGTACATTAATGAACCTTTGTTCTCTTCTGCGTAGGAAAGAGAGAGACAGATGAAGCTACACAGGAAGGTAGGAAGGTAGAAAGACAGATAGAGTGAAAGGCGCAGAGAAAGATGCTCAGAGTCAGCGGGGTCATACAGACGTGACAAAGCAGAGGTGACATACCTGTAATGTTTAGTTAAAATGCACAGAGAGTCACTCATATTGTCCACTAAGCTCATGAAAAGACCAAAACCAACATATTTATGCAACCCGTTTTTGGCCCTCAGGTCCAAACCCATTAGTTTCTTCTGACGATGTGAGATATAGTTTCATTTGAAAAGGCTCAGTAATTTCCCAAAACAGCTGAACACTGTGTTTTTTAGCAAACATTGTTCAAACTGGAGGAAATGGTGCATTTAAGATTATTTTCTGCGCCGTATTAATCCACATTTGGCGCTCTAGTGAGTATCTGGGTTCAGCAGGACGGTGTGTGTGGGGTCAAAATAAACTGTTCATGGAAATGAAGTAACATATCACCCAGGGCAAGAGTGTGGCTCATTGTGGAGCTCTTTGGCAAAGAGGGATAAGGTCTATACACAGAAATAATTCATAGTAGGATCAAGTTATTGTTGTCTTTTTGTTTTTTAAGGTTGTTGTTGTTGTTGAAAATAACTAAAATGTAGGAAACAATACAACTCGGTGTTTTTCTGTTGAGGAGCAAATGAAAATGCTAAATTTTGTTCTGTTTCATGTTGTGTCACATTTATTACTTGAATCTGAGCTACACAACAGTAGATGGATTACAAATATGAAATATAAGACTTATAAAAGATTCCATAAACCAGTTGAGGGGAGTTCTGTCTCTCTCTGCTGCCAACTCGCATCTTGCTTTCCAAAATTCATTTTCAATAGTCACCTGTGCCTTTAAAATAAATGTGCTCTAATTACGAGCTGAAATAATCCACACAACACACATCATGTTCGATCCAGAAGAATTCAACCTTTCATAATGGATTGAAGGAATTAAACTACTTTTCTTGCTAACTTACTTTTTCCTCAAATCCTACCCCTTGTATTGATGACAGTATGCCTTTATTGCTGGTGTTTGATTTTCTCTGTGATGTTCCTGGATCAGGCCAGAAGCAGACATAGGGTATACAGTATCTCACAAAAGTGAGTACACCCCTCACATTTATGTAAAAATTTATTCTATCTTTTCATGTGACAAAACTGAAGAAATGACACTTTGCAACACTTTGGAGACATGCTTGGCCAGTCCATCACCTCTACCCTCAGCTTCTTTAGCAAGGCAGTGGTCGTCTTGGAGGTGTGTTTGGGGTCGTTCTCATGTTGGAATACTGCCCTGCAGCCCAGTCTCTGAAGGGAGGGGATCCTGCTCTGCTTCAGTATGTCACAGTACATGTTGGCATTCAGGGTTCCCTCAATGAACTGTAGCTCCCCAGTGCCAGCTGCACTCATGCAGCCCCAGACCGTGACACTCCCACCACCATGCTTGACTGTAGGCAGGACACACTTGTCTTTGTACTCCTCACCTGGTTGCCGCCACACACGCTTGAC